AAATTAAATATCTCATTTATTATAAATTTACATCTCATTTGACGGTAGGTAGCATATAGGTAAAATTGAATTAACTTACTTAAAAGATGATCGAAATCTGATTTTGACATTCTTAAGTAGTTTTTCAAGTCGCTAGGTTCATTTTCAGCTAACTCCCTCAATAAAGCCATATGACTAAACTCTTCTCTTCTTAAAAGCCAATTTTTTACCCACTTACTCCTTGTTTTTCTTTTAGACATATAATTATAAGCAACAATCATTCCCGTTGCAGCAATTACATATTTTCTTTTTTTCAAATTCATTTTTGAATATATGCTAACAGTCTAACACTTAATAATTAATATAAATATATGGTAACTAATGTTATGCTCACATAAATTAACTAAGATACCTAAATGTTATTAAAAAGTAAAAACAAAACAAAACTTAAAGCATGTGATCTAAATCCGTGAATCGTGTATAAATCTTTTAGAATTGACTAAAAGACCAGAGGACCTGGTAAGACGGACCAAATTCATTGAAAAATTGCTCATTAATAGGTGGATTCAGTCCTTCGAAAAGATTTGGTCCTTCATAGTGAACGGATTTTTATTTTTACGTTAGTGGACACAACGAAGGACTTTGTCCCGCGGAGCAAATCCCTAACGGAATCGAAGATTTAATCCGACGGACTAAATCCTCGAAGAAATCCGATCGTGTATGTCCAGCTATTGTATGTTGCAATCGCGGGTCGCCGATAACTTCGACTATAGGCTATATATAATTGATTGTTATTATTAAATTGTGAATTCCACGTACTATTAGCACTATCAATACACTGAACAGCGATTAACAGTTGGAATAAAATACTTAGACACCTTTTATCCCCTTAGAGTTCGAATTTTGAAAAATCCTTTCTTAGTGCGCCGTTACATTGCTTAAGGAACCTCTGTACAAAATTTCAAGTCTCTAGACCCAGCGGTTTGGTCTGGGCCTTGATGAGTGAATAGGGGCCGTCTCTTATATGTTTATAGATTGAATTATAGAGTTGCTGAAGTTCATAAGATTTTGGTGCACTTCATTTTAGATCGACCTGAATACCTGATCAAACCAGTACTGACCTGTATTGACCTGTACTTGCATGCACTTGTATGTAAAGAAAAATGAAAATACGTTTCCGTATCAGTGCCGTCCGTCAAAACATAGTTTTTAACTTGTAACGTCACGGAATTTTGGCCCTCTAATAAATTATCAGCATACAATTATTCACATGTGCCGCGCAAAGAGAATTCTCAATAATAACAGCAATATTATGTAATATGTTCTTTCCCCTCCACCCCGCACTCAGCAGTGTTTGCACACTCGACCTGCAGCCGCTGGCGACTGTTGCTGTCACCGCCGTCGTTGTCAAAACCGGTACCGCACACAGTGCGTTCTGACCACACAATATTATGTAATGATCCCGCAACCAAACGACACTGCCCCAGCACCACCGCCAATCAGCTGCCGTACGACTATCACACTTTTGGATTTCGGTTTTCGCCATAAAATATACTCCATTGACGCTGGTCACTATTCACTCCATTTTTCGTCGTCCTAAAGCACGGACCACGGTTGATCACTGCTCCACCTAGTACTATACTACTATTTTTGTGAACAACGAATGAATTCAACTCGCTGCATATCACGCCAGATTTCGTGTCGACATTACCTGTCAGAACTACGTATCGTTTTCCTGGTTCAATACCAACACGCCATGATGGGCTAAGTTTTCTACGACGGGCCCGAGGTCGGGCCATGCTACAACCACGGGACTGTCGTCAAACCAGCACATCATCACCGTCAACATCATACTCGGCTGTCGTAAATATAATTCCCCTGTTCCCCCCTTTTTTTTCTTTCTTGTCACTCAAAAGCACGATACTTGTAAAATGTGCGTTGCAGAACGCCAAAGTGTGGTTGCCCAGGGGCCTAGCGGGTAGCCTCCTACCACTCACATACAGCTGGCGTAAAACCCAGCTGTCCCTGTAGGTGCTCGTAGGAGGCCCCGGACCACACTTACAGATGTTTCGACCCTTCGCCTCCCCAAATCATTTAAACTGCGCCCGGTAACCCTGTGAAGACCACCACGAGTAATGTGGAGTGTCGATCCCCGTGGGCCGAGCGTCTTAAATGATTTGAGTTTGGACCATGTGCCTTCTATATTTATTGTACTTGCCATGTGCCTTTTATATTAATTATTGTACTTGCAATGTGCCTTTTATATTTATTGTACTTGCCATGTGCCAGATTATATTATTACAAAATTATTGATTACTTAAAACCCCTGTAAAATACACTCACGTGATTACATTTAAATTACAACTTTTTATTTCATAACCAACACACCCTTTCCCCAAAATAAATCTTGTAGTTGCAATACTCCTTGCATGTATCAAAGCCTGCGAGTTCCACCGACTGACCCTTGGGTCTCACGCGGTGCGGCTCGCAGGTCACGAGAAAAGTGATCCCCTTTTTTTCGTGGGTAGTTTTTTGTGGCAATAAAAAGCCCAAAACCTTACAAACTATTGGAATCGGAACGGACTAGTGTAAACGATAACATTAAATATTAGTCATACAATGTCAAAATTAGAGCTGGGCCGATACCGATATCCGATATTGGTACTATCGGTTTAATTCGGTATCGGTTTTTTTTCTGAACCGATAATAAAACCGATATAATAGTATAATACAGTTGCATATCAATTTGTATGTAATGGTGATGGTTATACCGATAACGCTATTTTTAGACATATTATGTAAGCAACAAATGATTTGGTAAACCCAGTAAACACGATGCAATCACAATTTAAATTCAATTTCGTTTATTTATTATTTCATTATTTCTCATACTTACCGCGGTTATGATTTTATTGATAAATAGTAATATTTATAAAGATAATATTATAATATAAATATATAATAACCAAAAAATTATTAATTATCATCTATATTATTATCATTTATCAATAGTTAATAATTAATAGTTACCTATTACTTATTAGTTTTAACTTTTAAATGTATAGACGTATTATAGTAATTACTAATTTACTAATTTATATGTTATAATTTATTATAATTTATTTAATACCTAATAATACCTAACAATACCTTTCAGTTATTCTTTTCATTTTTTTTTTACTTATTCAATTAACAAATAAAAGAATTGTAAAATTTTAAATTATTAAATATTACTATTTATTATTTTATAGTTTATACTATTTTATGGTTATTTCAGTTATTTGTTTTTTTTGTCCACTTATTTAATTAAAAAATAAAATAATTGTAAAATTATTAATATTTATTATTTATTAATTTGTTATTATTTATCGTTGCGGAAATCTAAAATGTTTTGATATGCCACATAATTTAAATGTTACATCGGTTTATATATCGGGTATCGGTTTTTGAAAAATATATCGGGTTTTTAAGTATTTTTATATCGGTTCATGGAAATAAAATATCGGACCGGCTATCGGTTTTATATCGGCAAATTAATCGGAATATCGGATATCGGAAAAAAGTGCTATCGGCCCAGCTCTAGTCAAAATGTCGGACACTGAACGGACGGTACGGATAAGGACCGGACATGGATGAATTGACCTTAAAAGGTCTATTTATACATAACCGTTCCGTATCCGCACCATCCGTTTCCGTATTTTAAAATTTGTCGGAGACAATGTTTTTGGCGATTTCACTGATACGGATATGGAAAATACGGAACAATGTAAACAGCCATCCAATTTGTTTTGACAGTCTGCACTTGGCGGGCCTCAACTGCACATATCCAGTGACTTGCAAGTGACTTATTCAAAATTAAATTTTGAATTTTAGCTAAATTTGACAAATTTGTTTTAAATTGATTATACCTACCGTATTATATTATTATAATTAATTATTATTATATTATATTATAATAATTAATATTATTTAAAAATAATGAATATTGATGAAAAACTCATTGAGATGGTTCGGTCTCACGTGGAGTTATATGATTTATCACATGCCAAGTATAGTGACAGTGGATATAAAGATGGTATTTGGCGTAGTATTGGAGATAAAATAAATTTAACAGGTAACTTAAACTATGATACCAAGGATTGAAAATTAAAAACAAGGTTTTTCATAAGTAGTTAATATTATAACCAAAAATTTAAAAATGTATTCTTATAACCTTTTTTTATGATAGTAACCAAAAATGAAATCACAACTTTTTTTTATAATTGTTATTAGAGTTTCAATTTTGTAAAAATTCATTAAAACCACGGAAAGCTGTAAACTATTTAAATAGATAAAAATGTATAAAACATTCAATTTAAATATTTGAAAATCAAAATCGAATACAAAAATATCGAAATTCCTTAGTTGATAAATATACATAAAAAAATGTTTTTCGCGCCTTACCAACAAAATATATTTGAAGTTAAAATTTGTTCTCATGGCAATATAAAATATCAAAAAGTTCCAATTTATACATTACCTAATTATAGAATCCGCTCAGAATCATTTTTGAATATTGTATTTTTTCATCGATGGTTTTTTTTTTTACCCTTAAGATTTTGATCGAATCAATGTTCAGATACTATTTCGAATACCTAATTTTGAAGATAGCATTTTTTTATACAATGATACAATTTTGTTTAGATTATTGGTTATAGAAAATATATAATAGGTACCTATGTTTTATTATTCCAGGCACGGAATGTATTTTATAACGTAAATATAGGTAATTACTAATTATTATAATAATATGTATTACATTCAAAATTCAATAAATCAAGTTTAATGTCAATGTGTTTTTTTTTTAAAACAAATTCCATCAATTCAAATATTAATACAATTGAATTAATATTATAGATATATTATTATTTTTTTAAATATTATTATTAATTAAATAATTATTGTACACTATTTTAAATTAGTTTACTTTATAGTTAATAATATCATAGTATATAAAAGTATGTAAACCAAACAACACTTGATTAAATTTTTCCATTTTGCCACGGCAATGAACCAGCTGAGGAATTAAAAAAGTTTTTGTATAGTTCTCGAGTTGCAAAAGCTGCTCGACCAGCACCACCTCCTTGCATAGGTATATCATTCAAAATTATGTTTGAAGTTAGATCATTCATATTTTGAACATTTTCAATGAAACTATTATTCTATTGTGAATTTAGGAAGGGGGTAATAGTCCATTTCCACATACCTATTAACTGTGACTTACAAATCAACACATAACCGGATTTTACCATTCTTACGTGGAACACACACAATTGGAGATGCCCATTGACTATGTGACACTTTTGTGATGATAGCTTGGCTTTCTAAAGCGTTTAACTCTTTAATAACCTGATCTCTAATCGCATAGCGAACATCATACGCTCTATGGAACACTGGTACCACATTTTCTTTTAGCACAATAGTAGCCTCAAACACTCTTATTGGCTCCACATTATTAGAAAATACTTTAAGATATTTAACTTTAAACTTTTCCACTGACCGATCATTCACAATCAAAACTTCCACTTGTTTAGTACTCACAATCTGACTCCTTCACAGTGGATTAACTATGTCTAACCAATCTCTACCTAACAGAGGTTTTTTTAGACTATTATCAGTAATAACTAAGGGTAGGTTATTATAATAATGATCCTTTATACTAATATTAACAATAATTTTACCCATGGTTTTCATAGACTTCCCATTTGCAGTGATCAACCTAACTTCACTTGGCTGAAGTAAAAAACCAAAAAACTCTGCATTATAGACATTAATTGGTAACAGAGTGACAGCTGCGCCTGAATCCACCTCAAAATCTAAAAATGTGTTATCATTAATACAAACAGTCATTTTAAGGGCGTTACTAAAAACGTTATTAATTTCTAAATTATTCACAGACTTTTTATTATTTCTACACATATGAGAAGTGTGTCCCTTTTTTGAACAGTTGAAACAAACCCAATCCTTGGCTGGACACTCTGACTTTGAATGAGATTTTCGACCACACCGACCACAAGCATTTCCATGACTGGAGTTTCGCTCACCAACATACTTCTTTTTTTGAATGACTTTTGACGATACATCTTCGTGTTTTTGAGATTGTAATTTGGATGACTGATTTTTGAATTTTTGACGAATAGACAAGGTCTCTGCCTTAACACGCTCATGCATGATGGCTGTATTTTTTCTTACAGTATCCATATCCATAACAGTTTTGCACGCAGAATCGAACGATAGTGCACTAGGTTCGGCTAATAGTTTACGTACCATTATGTCATCACTTAAACCGGCAACCAACCGATCTCTTAAAGCTTGATCTAAAAATTCATCTAACTTACAGCTTGAGGCAAAACGACGCAATTCGATGATAAAATCGTTGACTGATTCACCTTCTTTCTGCTTCCTCGAGTTAAACTTGTATCGTTCTGAAATTACTAACTGTTTTGGACAATAGTACTCTTTTAATTTTGAGATGACTGTCTCAAATTTTTGAGTTTTAATTTCACCAGGCAACACTAAGTTTTTTAATACGGCGTACATTTCTGGACCGATAAGCACAATAAGTTAAGACACCTTATCGTTATCCGAGGCCGCACAGTTCACAAAAAAAAAAGCTTCCATTCTTTCAAGAAAATTTTCGAATGGTTCATTATAATAGCACCAAAATTGTTTTTGTTATTAACACAGTTTTATTACTTGTAGGCTGACTACCTTGCTGACTTGACTGTTCACCTGCACCCATTATTTTTTTAACTTTGACCGCACACACGAGACCGGTTCGCACAAGACATATGAATTATAAGAACAAAACCAAAACGCATTCCAAATGTTATGTCTTTTAGGATGCAGTTGGGTGAAAAATAATTAATACACAAGTACATTTTTAACTTTTTATAAAAGCATGCTTATAGCTTATATTGACAAGTGACAACATAAGTGGTAACCTATTGTAGTAAACCGACGGAGTCGTTTCCTATATATTAAATATTATAATTACATTTCTCACGATGTCACGCTGGACAACAACAAGACTAGGAATCTTTTGCAATACCTTGGGTTTGACAGCACAATTAAAACTTATCTTTTTCAAACCTTGGATTTGACAGAGCAATTAAAAAATTAATCTAACGATTAATTTACGAATCTTCGCTTTGCCAAAATAATGCGAAAACAAACTTATTAAATTGCCAATCAACCACTCGGGTCTTTTGGCAATAACAACATCTAGCTCCAGGCTCCTTTCAAATATCCATCTCCTAGACTCTACAGTGTACGTTTATATCCGCATAGATTTCATATAAATATAAGATGATGTCTATTGCAAAATTAGAATTAGTTTAGAGTTTGCACTACGTACATACTGTACGTAACTAACTTCTCGGGCAGATGCTTTTCGCTCTGTCCTCAAATTTATATTACACTTAATTGTGATCATTTACTTTTTAAAAACGTTAATAAAACTACTTATACCTAACTTGTGTAACTTGTCTCTGTAACCTTTTCTCCTATTCAACCGTCAACGTCTTTGAACTCAAAAATATAAGCGTTAGTGAGGGATCACTACACTATTCATTATATCTAAGATTTTTAGTGAAGCAGTGTTGCCACATAACAGTTATTATAATAACTTTTTTCAAAATATTTTTTTTTTGGGAATTTGCTGACATGAGTACATTAATAATTCTTTAATTATTCACTAATCTTATAATTTTAACAATTTTTGTCATACTTTTAAGTAGCGTAATTTTTTTTCGTCAAGTAGTCTTTCTGTTACACAGGGGCGAACGCAGGGGGGGGTTTAGGGGTTTAAACACCCCCCGAAATAGTAGGTACAAAAAATAAATTATCTGACCTACAAATGTATTACTAATAACATTTCAAAAAAATTAAAATAAATTATTAGTTATTAAAAAGTTTCCCTTCTCCCGTGGCTTGTAAATTAATGGATACAGTAAAATCACCAATAAAATGTATGATAATGCAGTTTCGAATTGAGTATGACAGTATGTTATAACTTATTGATGACTGATCGACATCGAAGGCCGCCAATCCGATGATGTACGTAATGTAGAAAGACGACGAGTGTAATTGCCGTCTACCGGAAATTCGCAACGACCCGTCTTATCTAAAATCTAGATAATTCTAGAAATTGTATCATTGTTCAATAATCAATATAATATACCATAGTATGCCAACGAACTGTCGTATACTCGTGTCTCGTGTAGTCGTGTCTCGTGTCTCGCGCCTGTTTTACTATACTAAAGACGTAATATTTATTAAACGCAAATATTTAAAATAATATATTAAAAATGAGTTCAATTTTAAAGTTTTTTAAATCAGACAATAAAAATACTACCTCAGTTTCGAATGTTTCGATTGATGTAGATTCAGATAAATCGTCTGTAGGCAGTCCACCAATAAAAAGACGAAAACCCGAGATGTCGCAATCTGACGCAGATCGTAATGTGAGTTTTTGACTTTTTGCAATAATAATATTAATAAATAATATTTTAAAATATAATATATTATTTACTATTATAATATTATATTATTGTTGTTTGTTAATTGTTATATATTTTATTTATAGATTTTTCCGAATGATATTGCAAATTTTTGTCGTAAGCAATTGAATGACATTGAAAAATATGAAGTTCTTGTGCATAATTGGATACCTGATGTAGACTTCAAGTTTCCGACTTCTGGCAAACGAAATTTGAAATTTCAGCATTCTTGGTTACGCTCATTTGTGTGGTTGGTGTATTCTGCTGCAGAAGACGGAGCTTATTGCCGTTATTGTGTCTCATTTGGATCAAATTCTGTTGGTAAAGGGGGTCATCAGAACACAAATTTATTGGTTCAGACTGCGTTTCAAGATTGGAAGAAAGCACTTGAAAAATTTAGAGAACACCAAAAAAAAAAATATCACCTTGACGCCATGGAGGATGGACAAAATTTTAAGTTGATTTACGAAAAACGGAAGAGTGACGTGATCAGCGAAATTGACATAGGGCGATAAATACAACAACTCGAAAACAGACATAAGTTAATTCCGATCGTCCGAGCCGTTTTGCTGTGTGGCAGGCAAGGATTAGCATTAAGAGGTCATCGAGATCAGGGCTCTTTATCACGGAAAATGCCGGTAGAAAACGACGGGAATTTCAGAGCGTTACTTCGTTATGCCCTAGACAACGGCGATCAAGCTTTGGCCAATCATTTAAATACTGCGGGTGCGAATTCAACGTATTTAAGCTATCGTATTCAAAATGAAATAATTGATGCAGCAGGGAAACAAATAACGACGAATATTGTGCAACGTGTAAACAAATCTAGATATTTTTCTGTCATTGCTGACGAAAGTACGGATGTGAGTGGCATTGAACAGTTTTCAATATGCGCTCGATTTGTCGATAAAATGGACGAATACAAAATTCGAGAAGACTTTTTGTGCTTTATCCCTGTTGAGGACGTTACCGGAAAGGGGCTTGCAAATACGTTGCTGACCACGATGGAAAACATTGGCATAAACCTGGCCAATATGAGAGGGCAAGGTATGTGTTAATATTTATTAGGTTATAACTTTATATATATTAGGTTATGTTATATTTTCTTTATAAAAATGTTTAGGCTATGATGGGGCGCGTGCAATGAGCGGAAAATTCAACGGCTGTGCTGCTAAAGTTCGAGAACTATATCCGGAAGCTATTTACGTCCACTGTGCTAATCATAATTTGAATTTGGCTATTACACATGCGTGCAAAATATCGTCCATCCGAAATTGCATAGGCACAATTAAAGAGGTTGTAAATTTTTTTCGTCTATCCAATAAGGCAGGTCTAGTTTTAAAAGAAAAAATCCAAGTGTCTTGCCCAAGTGCGAAACAAACACGTCTTCTTAAATTTTGCGAAACGAGATGAGTTGAGCATTTGGACTCACTCAGTTTGTTCAACGATGTATATGAACATATCTGCTTATCGTTGAGTATCTGGATGAAAAAAATTTGAAAACCATCGGAGTCAAACCTCATGCCCTGCTTGCATCGATAAAAACACCTCAATTTATTATGGCTTTAACAGTAGTAAAGCCGATTTTCAGCATAATGAAAAATCTCAGTGTGTTTTTACAAAAGGAAGATTGTGATCTTAGCTTATGCATTGATTATGCAAATCACGTGTATGATGAAATCAATGAAATGCGTTGTGATTCGGACTTGAAATTCAAAAGCTTGTATGCAGCAGCAAAAGAAATGGCGGACAAATTGGATATTAATTTAGCACCCCCGCGGAATATTGGAATACAGAAGAACAGAGACAATTATGAAGGCGGTCCAGAGGAATATTTTCGTCGGTCCATTTTTCATCCTTTTTTGGACCACTTATTAATGCAGTTAAAAATAAGATTTCTTGAACACCGGGAACTATTGTCAAAAATTCAAAATATTCTTCCAACTAAGTGTTCTGAGCTGAATACAAAAGAAATCAGTGAAACGGTAAATACTTTTGCAAAAGAATGGCCAATTGACATCAAGGGATCTACTGATGATTTTATAGATGAGATGACCATGTGGCACAGGTAACAAAATATTAAATTTCTTATACATAAAAATATGTTTTGAGATCTATATTAAAACATAAAATGCATTGTTGTTTCAGACATTGTTTAAATATGTCAAAGGATAAACGGCCTAGAACATTTATTGAGACTCTCAACTATTGTAATTCTGCATTGTATCCATCAATACACACATTTTTGCAGATTGGTGCAACTCTACCCGTTTCTGTGGCAACAAGTGAACGGTCTTTTTCTTGTCTTCGAAGATTAAAAACATATCTGCGCAACAAGACTGGTGAGGAGCGATTAAATGGATTGATGCTATTAAACTTATACAGAGACGTGGAAGTGACTTGTGAAGAGGTCATTGACATAATGGCAAAAAAACCAAGACGCATAGATCTCGTTTTATAATGTAAATTGACAAATTGTAATAATTAGTTATTAATTATTATCTATAATAATATTATGTAATATGTATTATGACATTATGTATTTATGTATATAGTATAAGTGACTAAAATAAAATATAGAAAAGTGTAATACAGTATGAATAATATGATATTTATGAATACCTACTTAAAATTTTTTCAAAACCCCCCCCGAAATTTTTTCCTGCGTTCGCCCCTGCTGTTACACCTTGTATATTGATATTTATTTGTCATATTTTTTGAATTAAATATATAAAAGTTGTTTTCATTTTTTAATTAATTAAAATTGACTATTGTATTAATTTTTATAAAATGTACCTAATACACTATAAGTGTTCAATGTTAAATTTTCATAAGACATTTTGCTCAAAAAAGTCATAATTGCCTCGTAGTTATAATTGAATTTCAATGCCCAGTAAATGTAGAGCTTAAGCAACCTCAGTTTTTTTCTTGAAATTGCCCCTATGAATTAATAATAATAATGGTTTTCCGTTGAGCGACTCTCATTTCTTCTTTTAGGTTTTTAATAATAATAATAATAATAATATGAGGTCGCCAGGACAAGGCTTAATTTGTTTATAATGATCATTTTTTGTCGCCTTAAACAACTAAGTATGTTGCGGTTGTTGTAATCTCCTACAATTTTAAAAATACATTTGTTCGACATAAAAATTCTTTTTTTCTTTCTTGGTGGATTATTTCCAGCTTCTAGTTGTTGGTTAAGTGTATTATGTCCTGACTGAACCTTCTTAATTTGGTAATAAATGTCCACAATGTTTGGAAGTTGTACACCCATTTGTAGATTCAGTCGTCTATTGCCCACTCCAGCGTTGGTAATTTTTTTTTATATCCGTTCATGAACATTCGAAAATACAATTGGAAATCGCCGATTTCTTATTGTTCTACCATCATGGTATTCTTCGAACCAATCTAAAAAAGAGGAACACCACTAGAGGTATCTATTCTGTTAGTGCCTCTATTGCTGAGTCTAAATTATCAATTTTAACAAATGCTTAGGCTAAAACCATTACTTCTATAAAAAAATCAGCATCATTTTTTTTACTTAGATATTAAATGTAATTCATATATTTTAAATTATCGACGATTTTATTAATTTCTTTTTCTGGAGATGTTTTCCGTCGAATTAAAACGCATTGTTTATATCGGAGCAGCTATACACGGCAAGCGTATTACGACGTGAAATACTTAGAGTACCTAAACTAACCAGGGGGCCAATTCTTGAAATCTTACGACTAATTCTCGCATGCGACAAAAGTCATACATTTTATCGACTGTGACAGATGTTTATCGCATGCGACATACAATTGGTATTCTTGAATTGAAATCGATAAGATTTTATCAATTGTCGAATGCGATAAAGTTTATCGAATGAACCACTATGGTAACAACACAAATCTAGATTTTAACCACAGATTTTTCATTTAATCTATGTTTTAACCTCAAACAATCTCGAAAATTATATAAATTATTATTTTATTCCTTTATAACTGAATGTTATCAATGATAAATTAAATGTATAAAATCAAAAACTTTGGTTGTTATTTGTTACCTACCATCTTTAAATGTTTTAATGTTTAAAAAGTTACATTTATTTGTTTGTAATAAGTAAACAGTAATTCGACTAATTCTCATAATGTCTAGAATGAGACCAACTCATAACCAAATGAAGTTTTTGGTTGATCAGATGGCCAACGATCCGCAATTGTGTTCGAGTAAATTTAGTAAAACATTCACTCATAAAATCGCACAACAGAGATGGGAAAATATTGCTGTTCAATTAAACTCGTACCAGGAGCAGAGAAGGATTGGCAAAAATGGAAAAAAGTAATTAACTTTGTTTGGTGAAGATATTTATTTTATAATTTCAAGTATTTGTTTCTGAATCCATAATCTATACTTGGCTGAAACTTTGTTAAAAATACTGTAACCAAACACTAAGTTCTCTTGCTATTTAATACACTTAATCTTCGCTCTAGGTACCGAAAAAAAACCAATAACATAATCTACAGTTATTAGATTATGATATAATTGTAAATATAAATAATAATATATATTATTTATATATACGCCACTGAGCTTTATATAAATCTGTTGGTTTTTACTTGTAATTTTTAAGTTTATTTTCCAAATATTAGTTAAGAGGACGTTATATCCGCATGTGTTTTCTCCGCCTCGCAAGTGCATAATATAGAACATTTTAATACACGTGTAGCTCCGTCAATTTAATAATTAGAGTAAATTGACCTCTTATAAAATCTAATGGTAAGATTATTACCTAGACAAGCTCATAAGATTTTTATTATATTTTAATTTTTAAGCAAGTTATGAGTACTTTAAGATGTACAAACAATTTACAATTTTAAAATACTCATAGCTCGCTTTAAAATTAAAATATAATAAAAACCCATGAGGTTGTCTAGATAATAATCTTAGTTCTTACCTTTACATTTGATAAGAGGTCAATTCACTCTAATTTTTAAACCAACGGAGCAACACGTGTTCTGCCGAGGGTAGAATTTGGTATGTTACGCACTTGTAAGACGGAGACAACACATGCGGGTATCACGCCCTCTAAAACGATAAATAATAATATATATTTTTTACTGCTTTAAAATAAATTGATTTGTTTTTATTTGAGATTCATTGCTAATTAATAATATAAATTTGTTTACTGATTTATAGTTTTAGACAGCTTTGAAACTAGTTAAGTATTTGAATAAAACTATTCAAACACTTTTTAGTACAAATTACAAAACAATTTGTACATCTAGTAATCTAATAACAATTTATTAAAATTAGAGGAAAATTTGAATAAAATGTATATAGTATACACATAAATATTTACATTGTGAAAGGGTATAGATACGTAATTATATAAATATTTAGATAAAAATATATGATTAAATTTGAAAATATTGTTGAATTATTTGATCCCTCATTCTTCTACCATTAATATTTCCTTGTATGTCTCCTTCGATGTTGTTGGGTTCAATTACATTATTTTTTAGTATCACGTTCTCATTTCTGTATTCTAAACTGAAATATGATTAAATAAAAATACAAAACATAAAAAACATTATATGGTGCTTGAATATTAGGTTATAAACTTATACATACTTATTCATAGCAATATTATGTAGTATAGCACAAGTCTTTATTGTAGCTGCATGTATTGGTTGATAGCGAAGAACGCGATCTTTACGGAGACTTCTCCATCTACATTTTATCTTAATACACCGAAAACCCTTTCAATTGTATTACGAACAAAACAGTGGTTTTGAGTGTAACGATACTCTGGTGTATTTTTTGGAGCATTTAACACGGGCGTTAGCATGTAGGATTGAGGCGTATTTCCTGAATTCCCGAGAAGGTAAAACTGACCAGTATTATTTGCATGTAGTCTATCCATTTCTCGTTTGACTGCACTTGTTCCAAAAATAAATTGGTCGTACACATTGGTTATACGCAAATTTGCATCACATACCTATTCATTTATTAAATGTTAAAACTATTAATAAACATTAGAGGTTATAGGAATGTATAAAATGTATGTTTTAAATGGAGGAATTATTTAATTTGTTTAATTCGTACCATATTAATAAGTATAAAGTAAGTACCTATTTAACTACATAGTACTATAATTATTATATTTTACCATCTGCACATTTAACGAATAGAAGCCTTTAAAATTTTTGTATGCCTCTTCACGCTTCGTAGGGGTTACTATTGCAATTTGTGTGCAATCGATACACCCTAAAATTCCAGGGTAGCGGCTTAACTGTTCAAATATTTTATCATATTATTTAAAATTTAAGACTCATTTACCGCCTTTATTTATTTAACGGAAAATCAGATAAAGAAAAATTATGTTAAGGGGGGGGGGGGCTCCAATTGGTCGTGTCTTAGGGATATTAATATAGGCATGATAATATAACATGATGACATTAAAATGACTTGAAGTGTGTGCATAGAAAATGAACTACGAACATATAACATTAATATGGGTTAGTTTAAACTTTAATCGTGTTCGGTCAATATTTCATAGAAATATCCTGAATTATAACAGTAGGCCCGCATAATACCCTTTATCGTTATTTATACCCACCTCGGGCATTGGTAATCTATTAAATTAGATAAAAAATTGTCAGTTTAAAAATGTGGTTTTTAGACCCAAAAGGTCAGTCGAAACTGAAGGAATTTGGTGATTGACGGATATCAGCTTTTAAATTAATTTTAATTTTTGATTTTTAATATCTATTTTTTTGACCGTGATATCCTTGAATAAAAATATAATATTTTTGTATTTACCTATATTATTCATTATGAGTTATGACACTTAACAATGAACACTTTCATGAAGAAACAGGCGCTGAGTCATGAGTCCTAATCAATCGAAGTTGTGTAGAATCAAGCTTACACTCAGCATTATTTTGATGAAACTTAGTAGAAACATGTTGGGTTATTGCTTGAAATTTCACAGGAAAATGTTGATAAACAAACGGCACAGAAAACACTAGACTCATTTCTTTTTGTTACCCAAGAAGAAATAACATACCCGAGTTTCTCTTTTCTTGTCGGCCATTCATCGACATTTGACTTTCATCGACTTCATGGTATTTCTAAGACATTTAAAATATACATCAGTCATGTATGTATTACGTAGCTGATTTTAGAAAAAGTCAATTAAAATAATAAAATGTTTTAAAATATATAAACAAAAAATTATATTATTAATTTACACGATATTTCTCACACGTAATTAGAATAGGAACCCGTCAAAATAAGGCGGAATTATTGTAGTGGTAATAGTAATAACGTGGCGGTAAAATTATCGAAAAGTAAAAAAGTACTCAACTGTACAAAAAATTAGGTAATAATATCGAATTTTATCTCATCATAAGTCAAATTTAAAATAATAATTATAATAAAATATTTATAAACCTCATTTATAACTGTATAATGCATAGGTATTAGGTGTACTGAGGTACATTATATCGGGGATGGAACGTTTCGGTGATATGTCAATACGGCGGATGACGATATATTATTATTATAACTATACCCTGTTCAAAATAAGAAGCGACCTGATTTACGCTTGAAAACCGGTTTTACTAGTGGCCGCCTGAATCGCTTCTTAAAATGAACAGACTATATACAAAAAATATATATAATTGTTAAGTGAAGAAATTATTTTTAATTATATATATGTTTTTTAATTAATAACTAACAAGATAACAATAATTTTAACTTACGTGTTACGAGTAAGGTACGTGTGGACAGCTCGAGTCACGGCAACAAAATAATTTAATAATGTCATGTGAACCCTAATATCATATTTCTTATAAATGTACACTGTAAAATCTATAAATATATACTATCCACTATACGGATCATACACACACACACAAATAATATAAACAAATACCGATAACACTGAAACTGAAACACCGATAACAAAACTCGCTCGCCAACTGACTGTCAATATGTTAAAACCTACATACATTATAAATATTATAGAGATATTTTATTTTCGTATTCATTATATTTTTTTTTTCAATATTTCAGCTCAGATTATAAAGATAAATAGTGAAAAAAGTGAGTCACTAGAAACCCTGCTATATATTATATATTATAATTTATAAGTCGTAACAAATTAATATAAGGCAAGTAAGCGTATAGATATAGTAAAGATTTAAACTTACTTGAACTTCAACACTTAAACCATTTTTGATATACTCTGTTCAGATTAAGAGTGCGCAAAATCGCGCATGCATACTGAGCAGCCGACAGCTGTCGGGACCCCCCAGGTGGCAGCAGACGCGCTGTGATTGGTCAGCATTGTCGACCGCCGTTGTCGACTGTCGGATCGGAGGCGTGCCGCCGTCTATATACAGATGGTTGTGCGTCGGCACCATAGACATATTAACTAAATGGACTGCGCCTTCTACACCCCCTGCCTACCGAACAAATCAGCCAACATCAGATAAGCAAAAAGGGGTATTGTGGAAGAAAAAATTAATTATATCTTGTTTCTTCCATGTATTATATTTCCCGCCTATCCATTTAAAAAAAAACAACCATTTAGAATATATTTTATATTATTGTTATTATATTGTATTTATAATATTAATTATAACATTTATAAAATCTCATAAACACAATTAACTAGGTGGGAATCAACTGGTTAAAAACTCATATTTTCCTCATGTTTTTTATAATATTAATTGAAATAAAAATGAAATATACCTACATAAAATATTAGGGTATCGTGAATATTAGTATTATAATTTTAGTTAAGTCAGTAGTTAATAGTTGAAAAAGTTCATCATCCAATAATGTGTTGAATTAAGTTCTCATAGTTTTTATTTGCGTGTTAAGTCTTCTTTTTTAATCATGTGATGCAATCACTCTATGACAATCTGCATTATTTCAAGTTGTACCTTAATTTATTGTGTGTGTGTGTGTGTGTAATAGACCTATATGACTAAGTGGCAAACAAAGAAACCCATTTTTATACACTAGACAATTATATATTGTTATATTATAAAACACATTGTTGTAATAGATAATATAAAAAAAAATAGTAAAAATAATAATAATAACAAATATTTTACTTTCATACATGTACATGTTAAATAAATATATGGGACCATCCATTAGCATACAAAATTTAATGTTTATTGGTTTCTGAAATGTACGAGTTTGGTGAACTGAGAACGTATTCTCTCTTTTGGCTGACTTCTTGAGCTGTTAAAATGGTGTATCCGTATATTGAAGTAGGTTTTGAAAATGTCTCTGATTAACTGGATTAAATGATTGTTTATTGGTTCTTGATTGTATATGTGGTTAGACATTTTTAAAAAGTATTTATTGATATTTATTTTAGAAAATGATTTGATAATGAATGTTTCTCTGATATTCGTTGCACTGCTGGTTGTATATACTGATTGTTGAGTTCGAAATACATTTTCAGCGATTCGACACAGCTCAGTTACATCACTACTTGGCTTAATTAGCCTACCTCGATTTGTTATTGATATTAATGGTGTAGGAGCTGTACTGGATTCAGATAAAACTTGAAGACATTCTGAACATTTTGTCAATTTTAGTAATATTTTTGTTACAGCTCCACCAATGTATTGGGTCGTGTCCATTAAATATGATACATATGGTGAGTTCTTTAAGTCCATATACAAATTAGTATCCTCATCTGTCCCAGCTACACAGGTCAGCTCTAAATGGTTAGAATTTTTTTTTTTTGATGAACTAGTGGTTGATAATATTACAGTTGTATCTTGTGATATACAATTTGCTTGAGAAGAAGTTACTAATTCATTGTGTATTAGTAATCTTTTGTATGCCGCTTCAAATTGGCTGGCTGTTGGGTTATCACAAAATCCACCACGAGATCTTATAGCGGAAAAAAACATTTCAAGATGGTCTTGAGAAACTTTGTAAGTTAAAATAAATTCTAATTTATTTGATTTTAAAACATCATCAAATAACTCGCCAAGACTTCTGAGGCATACTATTAAGCCATTGAACCCAGTTTTTCTTCCAGAATTGATTATTGGAATAAAATTATGTGATTTTGACACTTTATTATATATTTTGGTCTGTAGGGAAGATAGATATTCAATAGACGAAGAAATGAAAGTCTTAAGAAATAACTCATTATTTAAGTAAAGTGGTCTTTTAAATTGAGTTTTACCCAAAAAATTTCTAGTATTTAGAATATCAAAAATGTCATTTATTTTCTTGCAAAATTCTGAAGTAGCATTGGTGTTTTGAAAATTAGAAAAATTTTGTTCACTACAATATGTCAGGGCTTTAGCAACAGATTCACTCAATGTTTGAGCCGCAAGCTTGACCTTCATTTTTTCTTTGAAAAAATTGATATGTCTTGATCTTATTTTGGTGGCCAAGTGTAGTTCAGCATTTTCTTGTAAAATTACCAACTGCTTAAATAAGTCCCATTTAATCTCTTGTCCATCCTTATTGTACAATGTTTGCCAGTCACCAAGTGTATTCCGACATAGTTTCAACATGTGACATGGATCCAAAAAATTTTTTCATCAGTGATTGGGTGCAAGATATATGTTTTTACATCTGGAGGATACAGTTTAGCTCCTAATGAAGTAGCCATTGAAATATTTGAGGCTGCTCCATCAAATGTTAAGGTCTTCACAAGAACACCGGTATCGTGGACAATGGTTAAAGCAGTTTTAATTAAATTTGCTTTTTCTTCTCCAGATAAACCATTAAGTAAAAAATAGCCGATTGGAATTTTCCAATTAGAATTAATAGCAACTAGCATAATGACGAGTGCTTCTTTTGCTAATGGAAGAGCATCAGTATCATCATTTATACCGGTTCCTAAACTTATATAGCCTTGGTTCCTTGTGCCATTAAAATGTGTACCCTGTTTAATACTGACTTCATCCATCATCATACCACATACTAATATTTTGTTTTTTAATTTCATTTCCGCCACTTTAATTTCTAGAGCATTTATGGATTCTTTGGTAAAGCCAGGTGATCCATCGATTACAGCATACCATTTGCGTAACGTTGATGGATGTGGAAGACAATTGTTAAACACTTGTCTTACATATTTATATGCTGCAGCTGAATAAAAATTAAGTGTTAATGCAAAAGCCCTAAGTTCAGGTGAAATTTTCTTTTCAGTGTTACGTTTCAATTGTTTCATAATCATCTCTCTCTGTGCAGTAGGTAGATTCTCCTAAAATAAATCTTAAAATATTGTACAATGTTAACAAAATATTTAATTAATTCGCTATTTCTACCTTAAGGATAGTGAAACAGTTATCAGAAATTTTTTTCTCTTCCTTAAGATGATTAATCAACTGCGATAGGTTTTTTATCTTCTTTCTTAGCCATGTATTTTTATTCTGCAGACTTTTTGTTTTTATTTTGAAGTCTCTTACAGTTGCTTGAGATACATTCCAATATCGTTTGCGTTTTGTTGGAGTTCTTAGATCTTCAACATTAAAATCACCAAATAAGCTTTTTCTTTTCCTAGAAAATTTTAAAATTAGTATAACATTTTAATGAAGAATGGCATATTTATTATTTTAATATTAAAATTTATATTTACATAGTGCTGGCCATTTTTTTTGGAGTAACTTGAACATTTTCACTAGGTTCACAAACTAAATCCGAACTGTCATCTATTGTTGGTATAATTTCTTCTACAGCTTCAATGTTAGATAGCCCTGTAATATTCAAACTATCACCTTGGAGATCTGATTGTGATAATGTAATAACACTATAGCTCATATTTTCTGTCGTATCTTGAACAACAATGTGGGATGGTTCATGTGTATTCGAACTATCATATTGTTCTTTGTTGAAAACATAAACACATTCTTCAACATCAAATAATGAAGGTACTGCGCTCTTAATAAGTGAAAAGGATTGAGATCTTGCAGTTTTAATAAAATCAATTTCCCTAAAGTGTTTGCTACACACTAAACTGCTATGGTTAGTTTTAAAATTAGGATAATATGATTTTATACACTTTTCCCATATATTTCTGAGATTTTCGTCAGCTGGAAACCTTTTAACAAAAAACATAAATCTATGACTAACGATACAAGTGAAACATATATATTAATATCTTACTTGTGTAGTTTAATGTTGCATTGTTTTGATGAAGCACCTTTACAAAGTGGAATCGAGCAAATCTTAACCATTGTGATATACAACCAAAGACAATAATAACTAAAACTAAATATACTCTACACTAAAAGTAATTAGTACAGTTAAAAATTCAAATATTATGAAGTCAAAATTCAATTATCGCAAAATTAAGGACCTGTCACAACGACAGTAGAACACGAAGTCACGAGGTGATAAATGAAAACAAACAGCGTTATCACTTACTGTTTTTTTTATCAGTCGTTATATTCATGGAATAAACGAAGTATATGTAATATTTTCTTCCCTGATACCCCTTTTTGCTTATCTGATGTTGGCTTATTAATTGTTGCCCAAGGCGCAGTCCATTTAGTTAATATGTCTATGGTCGGCACACCAGAGCGCTCCGAATGCATGCGCGAACAGAACCAGTTTTCGTCCGAGCGACTGGGCACTCTTAACCTGAACAGAATATAATTTTGCGTCGTTTTTTGTAGGCCTGTATAGTTTTTTTAAATTAAATTCACTTAAATCAAAGGGATTACATTTGTCTCTTAAAACAGATTTATGGAGAGTAAAAGCCCTATTACGCTCATGATATTCTATTTCATCTAATAACGCATAAGCTATAAGCGCCATGAGTACTCACTACAAACTAAATAGTAATATTAAATATTATAATATACGATGTTAAAAATTAATGGTGAAGTTAAAACAGAGTAGGTACTTATACACATCAAATAATAATTATAAAACAATAGCAAAGTAGGTATATTTTTTATCATAAAATCTATTTAGCAGATAACTATTGTTTAAGTCATGCATAATGCAACGTTATTTAAGGCCAAATCAAAAGTATACATTCAGTCACTTAAATAAGACGGTCTTAAACCATTTTTTAATCCATAATGCTTAGAAAATAGCAAAAATCGTCTATGACTAAATGCATGACTAAATTAACTGTTTTAGTCACAACAATGACTAAATGTATGAGTATGACTAAAACTTTTAGAGAATCGCTCTGCTGGTCGTCAAGACGACTATTGGCGACAGCCGCTGATGCTAGCGACTCCAGTTGGCAGTCGCGTTCTGCCACCGGCAGTTATGGGTGGGTGAAGTGAGGGGATGCGCAGAACAAACCAATTTTCGTCGGGCCGCGGCGTTTTCTCTCGGTGAAGGTGAACAGAGTATAGATAGCAGAATGCATTATTTTGTCTCAACGGTGCTTGGTACTCGATAGACATAAAATAATAATAACATAACATAGAATGGCCATAAAATAGCCATGTGAGTATGCTACTTGGGAAATGATAAATAATCACGTAATCTACATTTAATCTACGACCAGAGTTAGGATAGAAGTGTAGACAGACGTATATATAGTAACTACTATAACAATATACATTATACAACCTGAATGAAAAATAAAACTGTCATTGAGTTAATAAAAATGTCACAAAATCTTCAAAGAATTTAATTGTATGAAGACCGGCATGTACCTATAAACAACTAAAAAACAATTAAAAATTAACAATAATTTTAAGTTAATATTTGAATAAGTACTTGTAACTTGTAAGATACTTATTATTATTATTTTAATATTTTTAATATAAAATATATTAACACAAATACTATTCTAATATTTATGTGTACACATTTGGTAGGTGTTATAAAATAGTTATACAGGAATTAAGTGATAAAATAAAAATTACATAATTATTGGTTTTCTTTTAAAATAACCATGTTCAGTGCTTGTAGTGTCTTCATAATGCTTTTACATACCAGTAATTTCAGTATTTGTAGATTAAAATAAATCAATTAAAATATGATTGTTATTATTTTTTATAGATGTGATCCAACTATATGGAAAATAAACGGGTTCCCTATAGAATATATTTGTATAAACGGATTTTTTCAAGATTTAAATTATTTAAATTTTACCAAGTCTAAACAAGCATAAACAAATGTTCATAAAGGATCTACTGAAATCTACTATAGGTAAAAATTTAAGTTTTAATAACTTATAATATTATAATATTGTAATAACACAACCTTATTTTATATATAATTTTAAGGTTTTTCAATTAAAACTATTAGAATACAAGACTAACTAATGGTGATTCATTTAAACGTAATTTCAGAAAGTAAGGGTGTAATTTTGTAATTTACTGTATCCCATGCTTGTTGTTTGGAAACATAAAATCACCTTCATTTGCTTCAAAAGAATTTTCAAACAGGAAAAGAGCTGAGGCACTTGAGTTATTAGCTGAATTTGACACTTTTATCCTAAACCATATTTCAAGGAACAGTAATCCCGGTAAAGGTATCATATTATATTTATGAGCAGTTTATTTTATTAAAGTCTAAAAAAGTAGAAAATACTATTATTCAAGATGTCAATACAAAGATACAAAGATATCGTTCAATAAGTGGTGATTCAACACCTGATATTACCCACACTGATCAACTTTCTTTAGTTGTACGATATATTGATGAAAGTGGAAGTGTATTTGAGCGTTTTTTTTTTGTT